AACCTCAAATTCAAAATGCAAATCCTGCGACAAATTAGCACATTTAATGGGCAATGAGGCCAAGAATATAAACACATCAATTTCCTCTGAATGAACACGGTTTTAACACACTTGTACAGTCCTATCACAAATTCTGTACGGTTTATATACATAAATAACACTTAATCCAGATTTCTTTGTTTGATTTCACTTAAAATGATGCCTGCCATCATCACAAAATTGATGTGACAGATCATGAAAAAAAATCACCATTATGTTACAGTGGAGTAAAAACAAATGTTCTTCCAACATGGACAGACAGGAATAATGGTTAACATACATTAATCATCTAATCCACACTGTCAGCTCTAGCAGAAATTGGAACTGTTCACACCTTTGGTCTGTAAATTTAAGCACTGGCTTCACCAAAAGTGATTTGTCCCCAACATGGTACTTCAGGGCCATATTACATATACACTGGGAATCGTATATCTTTCATTATCCTGCTACGATGTAGAGTTCGTAGGAGATTGACCTATATCAACAGGTCATTCTACTATTATACCCTGATGAGCAGTATAAGGTTTATTTATCAATGTTGTAAGCTTTGTACTTGTACATGTGGTTTCTATGGTAGCCATTATCTCCATGGAAGGGGAAAAAAATCAGTTAAGAAATTTTAACAAGCTGCAGGTTTTGTAGACTTTTTTCTATAGAAGTAAAACAGGATATGAAAAACTGCAAAATTCAATCTAATTAGCACACCTGCACGTACAAGAAATTTTAAGTGCACCACAATCTTCTTCCTCCGAAAATGATGGGGGTGTGAAAACTCTATTTATCTTGACTGATGGTCTTCCTAAGAAAGGGTCAGAAATAAAAATCAATGTTGTATTTTCCAGGTTATAAGCCGAACCGGAATACAAGCTGCACCCTTGATTACAATATGGTGGCTACTATTGTTGACATTTGATATACTGGTAACAGATAATGGAAGGCAGTTCTTACAAAGTGGTAACTGTTACAACAACCAAAGTTTGTTGATATAACAGACAACGGTGAGCAATTTATCAAGGCTGTCAGTGAAACATGTAATAAAGTTTGCAAACAAATTATACACAGATAATCCTTTATTTTATCGATGTGTTTCAAAAATGTAAAATAGCAATAATCAAAAAATTGTCAAGCTAGGGTGTCTTCACAGATGATCTATGCACAGATATAGGGCCTGACATTATATACAGTTTACTAAACAATATCGCCATCGGTGTCTGCACCGTTATCCATTAGCGAAGACACTTGCATGCTGAAAAAATTCTTATATTCCCATATTATTTCTTGTGAGTTACACAAAGCCATTCATATCACAAACAAGCATGGTAGTCGTTCTAGAATTTTACCTTTAACCTGATGACCTATGTAAACACATGAAGGGCAGATACTCGTAAAAATACTTAGTACTGTCTTGGACTGGTATATTGGTACACTTCCAATCTTTTTTTCATCCTGTCGTTTTTTTTCATCAACATACAAGCTGCATGCCCGACTCACGAGGAAAAAAAGTGTAGCTTATAATCCCAAAAATACAGTATTCAGCTACATAACCTCAAGGAATAGTAATGATTCATGTACAAAGTAACGTAGAAATTGATTCAAGAGTCTGGGAGGAGTTGTCAAAAAGAAAAAAAAAAAATTCAACAAAGAGGCATAACTCCTTTAGACAGGGCCTTTGTGAATAAAATCGCTGAATGTCTAACTTCACTGAATGGGAGGGCTTTATTTTTTCACATTTTCTGGAATGAAATCTGAGTAGGATGAATTCATAAGCCCAGCCCGGAAAGAAGTTCATTACCTATCTGCTATAAATACAGCTGTCAATAGGATCTGGTGATATTGGACCTAAGCCTCGCAGAAATGAGATATGCTGTCGATGACGATATCACAGGTATTAGAGATGCCAGTGTCAGATGTTTACAATACTGGTTGGGATGGACAGACTTTATATTAAGTGGGTAGTGCCTGATCGACCATTGGTGAGGAGCACTTCTGTGTTAGGTTAGTGACTGGACTGGGACAGGACTTACTAATTAGGAGTGCAATTGTAATAGGTCAGTGACTAGACATGACTTTCACTGGCAGATTTACTTTCAAAACTCAGCAACTGGTGGCGTGAAAGTGTGCATAACTAATCAAATTCTCTGTTGTTGTATTTCAACATCTATGTACCTGGATATCTTCAATGTCAACATTTACAAGAAATTTATTTAAATAGAAAACAAAATTTCATGAAATCACATATAAGAAGATCAAGGGGCCATTCATTTTATAACCAAAAACTTTAAAACAGGTTGTCAAAATAATTAAATGTACACTTCATTTTCCAGACTTGAATCAAACAGCCAAAAAGATTTTAATAAATGACTACTGGTAAATGTTTCTGCCAATCTGTGGCCACAGCAGTCACTTTCAATTCTGAAGATTTAAGCTATCACTTGATGTTTTCTTCCCTTGCGAGTGAATCACTCTTGACAACAGAGAGATAAAATCTACTACCTTTAGATTGCCTAGAAGACACAGTAGTTAATAACACCTTTTAATACAAAAACAGAAATATGTACAGTAGAGTATAGCCGAACGATGAATTAAACTGCATCAAGCAGGTGTTTTGTCCTTGTAGGGCTTGTCAATGATGCTAAGGTCTAACTTCTGAAGCCTAACAGGCCACTGAAGAAAATCCTAAATGATTGAAAGAAATGTCAGAATCTAGATCGGGAGGTGCATCACATACAGCCTCATTCAAAGCTGGGATCTGACAACTACAACTTGATTAAACTAGAGCTATTGTATACATCCCAATAAAATCATTAATGTTGAAAAACACATCTGTTCACAGCACACTTTGGAAAGAATATTTCTTACATCCAAGTTAAGTAAAATCTACAGTAGAACTGGGAGAAATTACTTCCTACATACTCTTGGTGGCATGTGGTTCTCTACCTAACATATCTGTGTGCCAAATAACATGCATGTACTTTGCCAAAAGCATACTTTGTCGGATATCATGTATGCACAATCTTCAACATTGGTTATTCTATAGCCTTTTTTACAGTTTCTGACGCAAACGCCACCTTCTAAAATGATGGCAGACATGTTTTAATTAAATCAGGGCTCAAAATCGGCAATAAAGATCTGCCAATGAATTTTTTACATTAAGATGCTGTTGTCAGTTCTATAAAAATACTTACAATAACATATTCAAGAGCATGAGCCATAATCTGACATCAAGGGAATATTGGTACAAGAAAAATCTTTCAACTTAACCATACACTGCATGTACAAAGACTTACTTTCAAACATCATAACAAGTAACTACTGTTTCTAGCCCCAGAACAAGTCACCTCTTATATCAAATCCGATTTCACATGCACATCTCTGCCTTATTTCTTTTTATTATTAGATAACAAATGTGTCTGGCTATTGAGTTCCAACATCACTGAGAAAACAAAGCGTTCTTTCACACGAGTATCAATCTTTACTCTTAACAGCCATAGCACGTGTGTTTACAAATTAAACACAATATGGATTTTCATAATGCTTATTTTGTAATGGGAAACATTTATTTCATTGGGACACAAATTAGACATTCACATATAGATAATTAAATCACTCAATTGTGTCACCTGGCAATTTTAAAAGGGAAAGGATGATCAGCGACTAAATTAAGCTTGTTTGTATAAAACCAAATTTGTTTTCCTCAACAATTATTTTCTAAATCTTTTTGATCACTATGCAAGGCAATAAAGCAGACGGCAAATCAAATTCTTCAACCTAATGCTTTTGATAACAGGACAATTTTTTTTTTAAACATTTCAATATGCCAGGCAGTAACCATCACATGCAAAAGTACTGTAAATACAATCTACCCTTGTTATACTGCCATCTTTGGTCCATTTTGGCAGTATAATGAGTGTGGCGATAGTATCGAAATTTGACAGATTACAACCACGTACAAGACAAAGCCAAGTTTTTATTTGCCACTATATCATAAACAGATTGATGTTGAGTTTTAAATACCATAAAGAAGAAGAGGGATTTGCAAGTTTTTGGTGCGATACTTTCAGGTTATCATGGTTCAAATTCATAAGATATATTTTCTGAGCCTGGTCTAACATCAGACGTTTCTGAGCCTGGTCTAACATCACATGTTTCTGAACCTGGTCTAACATCAGATGTTTCTGACCATGGTCTAACATCAGACGTTTCTGAGCCTGGTCTAACATCACATGTTTCTGAGCCTGGTCTAACATCAGACGTTTCTGAGCCTGGTCTAACATCAGACGTTTCTGAGCCTGGTCTAACATCACATGTTTCTGAACCTGGTCTAACATCAGATGTTTCTGAGCCTGGTCTAACATCACATGTTCCTGAACCTGGTCTAACATCAGACGTTTCTGAGCCTGGTCTAACATCACATGTTTCTGAGCCTGGTCTAACATCAGACGTTTCTGAGCCTGGTCTGACCTCACATGTTTCTGAGCCTGGTCTAACATCAGACGTTTCTGAGCCTGGTCTGACCTCACATGTTTCTGAACCTGGTCTAACATCAGATGTTTCTGACCATGGTCTAACATCAGACGTTTCTGAACATCACATGTTTCTGAACCTGGTCTAACATCACATGTTTCTGCGTTTCTGAGCCTGGTCTAACATCACATGTTTCTGAGCCTGGTCTAACATCAGACGTTTCTGAGCCTGGTCTAACATCAGACGTTTCTGAGCCTGGTCTGACCTCACATGTTTCTGAGCCTGGTCTAACATCAGACGTTTCTGAGCCTGGTCTGACCTCACATGTTTCTGAACCTGGTCTAACATCAGATGTTTCTGAGCCTGGTCTAACATCACATGTTTCTGAACCTGGTCTAACATCAGATGTTTCTGACCCTGGTCTAACATCAGATGTTTCTGACCCTGGTCTAACATCAACGTTTCTGACCCTGGTCTAACATCAGATGTTTCTGACCATGGTCTTACTGGTCTACCCTGGTCTTACATTAGATGTTTCTGAACCTGGTCTAACATCAGACGTTTCTGAGCCTGGTCTTACATCAGACGTTTCTGACCCTGGTCTAACATCAGATGTTTCTGACCCTGGTCTTACATCAGATGTTTCTGACCCTGGTCTTACATCAGATGTTTCTGACCCTGGTCTAACATCAGACGTTTCTGAGCCTGGTCTTACATCAGATGTTTCTGACCCTGGTCTTACATCAGATGTTTCTGACCCTGGTCTAGCATCAGATGTTTCTGACCATGGTCTTACATCAGACATTTCTGAGCCTGGTCTTACATCAGATGTTTCTGAGCCTGGTCTAACATCAGACGTTTCTGAGCCTGGTCTTACATCAGATGTTTCTGAGCCTGGTCTAACATTACATATTTCTGACCCTGGTCTAGCATCAGATGTTTCTGACCATGGTCTTACATCAGACGTTTCTGACCCTGGTCTTACATCAGATGTTTCTGACCCTGGTCTAACATCATATATTTCTGAACCTGGTCTTACATCAGACGTTTCTGAGCCTGGTCTGACCTCACATGTTTCTGAACCTGGTCTAACATCAGACGTTTCTGAGCCTGGTCTTACATCAGATGTTTCTGACCCTGGTCTAACATCAGATGTTTCTGACCCTGGTCTTACATCAGACGTTTCTGACCCTGGTCTTACATTAGATGTTTCTGAACCTGGTCTAACATCAGACGTTTCTGAGCCTGGTCTTACATCAGATGTTTCTGACCCTGGTCTAACATCAGACGTTTCTGAGCCTGGTCTTACATCAGACGTTTCTGACCCTGGTCTTACATCAGATGTTTCTGACCCTGGTCTAACATCATATATTTCTGAACCTGGTCTTACATCAGACGTTTCTGAGCCTGGTCTTACATCAGATGTTTCTGACCCTGGTCTAACATCAGACGTTTCTGAGCCTGGTCTAACATCACATATTTCTGACCCTGGTCTAGCATCAGATGTTTCTGACCATGGTCTTACATCAGACGTTTCTGAACCTGGTCTTACATCAGACGTTTCTGAGCCTGGTCTTACATCAGATGTTTCTGACCCTGGTCTAACATCAGACGTTTCTGAGCCTGGTCTAACATCAGACGTTTCTGAGCCTGGTCTTACATCACATGTTTCTGACCCTGGTCTAACATCAGACGTTTCTGAGCCTGGTCTGACCTCACATGTTTCTGAGCCTGGTCTAACATCAGACGTTTCTGACCCTGGTCTTACATCAGATGTTTCTGAACCTGGTCTAACATCACATATTTCTGATCCGGGTCTAACATCACATGTTTCTGACCCTGTTCTAACATCAGACGTTTTTGACCCCGGTTTAACATCTTAAGTTATATTACCTTTTTGTTAAATTACAAATGGACGGTCAGCAGAGTGGTCCCTTAACATGGTTGTTGTTGTTTTTAACTAGGACGAGAGGTCATGGTTGTTTACTGTCTGGAGTATGGAACAGTCTAAATACCAGTACATCTACATAATACTTGCCTTACTGTTGGTAAACATGTAGATACCAGCATTACCAAATAAAATAAAAATCATTGATTGACCCACATCACCCACAACTCATCAAGCTCAATAATTAATAGCCTTTCAGTTAAGAACTATTGATTTTCTTACTTGTATATCACAAAGGGTTTTGAAAACGTAATAGCCTTTTCGATTACCAGACTGCTTGCTTTTCGTAAAATGAAATCGTATCATGAAATTTAATTAACTTCATATAAACTTAGGAATATAAGACGTTTTCGGTTTAATTTGTCCTTGTTACTTAGATGGCTATGTGGGCTGAAAAATTGAAAGAAAAGACTTACGAATAAACTAAAATGGTGGTTTCATTTGGGTAGCATGCCAATATCCTTTTCATGCTTATTTTGTCCACACTCTACCATCTAAGCCTTGAGTGGTCTTTCAAATTTTGATTAAAAGTCACATTCTGTTAGTTGATAACTGAAATTCCTGCTGTTAATTTGATTTTTCAAAATCCAATTATAGGTTTCGGATGAAAATTGATGTAAGAAGCACTTCTCAGATAAGATTTTCTTTGTAACAGCTTCTACAATTGTATTACAGTACTGTACAACGTCATTTTGTTAACAAGAGGCCCATGGGCCTAAACGGTCACCAGATTTCATCTCAACCAAACCTGAAGTGCAAATGGCCATTATTCTCCGAGTTACGATCAAATGGGTTCCACATCCGAGACCTCCATGACATAAGGCTGCCCTCAAAGTTTCATCAAAACCTGGGTGGTTGGGTGGTGCAGTGGTAATGCTCTCGTCTCCAACCTCAGTTGCTCTGGGTTTGATTTCCAGAATGGACATGAAAAAGTAAGGAGTCACCTGCCCGACCACGTGGGTGTCACACGGGTATTTACATGATAAGACCCCTCCCGTGTTTATATCTGCGTCAACAGGAATGTAAGATATACAATAGGCCTACTGGACATTCATTACCTTGTAATCAAGGTTTATAACAAATACAGCCAATGTTCATTATAAATAGATTAACATATACCACTGACATTCAAAGTGGGCACTTCCAATCAATTATAACCAGTTTCCTAGACAAACCTAAGTTTCTAAAACTTAACTCCAAACAGTGTCAATTGTGACCTGGATTATAGATAAACGTAAAATCTGTCTGACCAATTACCTCCTCCACACACTTCTGGTTTATCACAATAAGTATTCCAACACTTTTGACAAATTTGACACCAGCGATAAAAAATATTCAAGGTAATTTACTTTTGCAAATTATGTCAAGCTTTATACGAGAGACCTAAAAACTAAACATCAAGATTTTAGGTATTTCAATTAGTCAGAAGACATTTAATTGTTTGACTAATTTGGTCCTTGTTTCCTTGAATGTGGGTCAAGGTCATTTCTTTTCACAAACTATGTTAGGATTCATCTCAGGTACCTACCAGCTAAAAATCTACCTTCTAGGCCTTTTAGTTTGTCAGAAGAAGTTGTTTAAAGGAAAAAAGTTTATGCTGGACAATGCCAAAACATAAGTTTCCAAGTGAGCTGATGCATTAATGGGAGATAAATAGTATTAATTGTGACCTCACAGAACACAAAGTAGAGAAGACAATTAATTAGATGACTGAATGACTAGCACTCTAACAAATATTGTAGGCAATAACCAACAAATGAGGTGTTAGAATGATCATTGACATAAAAAGGATGTACCAGCCTTTCTGATGCAAAATACTGAAAATGATAGCAGAAATTCAAACTTTCCATGGAAGATCTATACAATAACACAAACATCATAAACATGCCAAAGATTGCAAGAATGTTGTAAATAACACTATAAATAATTGGACACAAAAGTTAATGTTCCCCAGCTAATTCAACAAACATCATAAAATGGCTGTAATCAATATGTCGTGTTTTTTCCCCTTCTATCATACAGTTATCATATGCAACCTAAAACTTGTTTGGTACAACAGATTTTTTATACACTACATAAAATCGAATACGTACAATTTGTTTTTATCCAAAGTTGGAATATACATGCATCACTGCTTGGGAAATGAACAACAGAGTTTATCAATATATTTCATAGATTCAAAACTAGTTATTGCAAGTTTTAATATACATGTATATATAGAATCTGATGCTTCATTGAAAGTCATTTGTAAGAACATGTGAGTATTACTGCAGCACATGGTATATAAGGAGGAGCCAAACTGGATCCAAGAGGCTGTGTGAAATGATACTAGTCGACAGCAGCAGTGATTCTTACTCTACAGGCCAGTACATCCCTAGCTGCATCAGAGTGGACAACATCAATATGACATAGATGCAGCATACACTACAGTATGGACCAGTGTTATTGAAATAAAATTGGAAGTACAAAAGAGTTTAAATACTTCCTAACAGATATTTGTATTTGGCCTTGATGAACAATGAAACAAAAATGGACAATAGTTGGCCAGTTTGGATTTATTTTGTGAGGTCATTTCTATGTGAATCATTGTAGATTTTCCATCTGGATGATAATACAATTTTTGGATTTACAATTTGTTCAAAAGGCCAGAGATTGATAAACCTTTGGAACATGTACTTCAGAACGATATCTAACATAACCACAGACGTGGAGGAGTTGGTCAGTGTGAACCAACCCCAACACAATGCCTACCTTTGGGTAGTCATAACGATGATTGTCATCATCATCTTCATGGGTTTTATTGGTAAGCCATTTTCCTTCAACTTTCATTTTCATAGTTAGGATAATAATGTAGTATAAAGGATTTTTGTTCAATTTTTCTTTTGATTAATCATTTTTCTTATCAACAATTTATAATTAGTTTTCGAAACATACTATATGAAATTAGGATCTGGTATTTTTGTGGGACTCTGACAAAACAGCTTATGAAATATTTTCTTGATACATGAACTTTGAGAGCTATTGTTTTTTCTTGACAGGAAATGTAATGGTGATTGTGGTGGTGAAGACAACAAAGAAACTACAGACTGTCTCCAACTACTTCATCATCAACCTCAGCATCTCCGATTTAATCTTCGTCTGTTGTGTCCTGCCCTTCAATATCTATACATTCATCACAGACGGATGGTATATGGAGGAAACTCTGTGTAAATTTATTGGATTCATGGGATACATGCTAACTGGTAAACTAATTACTACACTAGTCACGTTCAGAATACAATTACAATTTGCGGTTTCCAATTGCTACTATCCATTATAAATCTTCCACAGCAATTCTACAAATTCATAGTGTTAATGATCAACATGTAGAATCTAGGGATCTAACTTCCTATCTGAAATTGCCTGGTATATACAATATGCCCTGTTGATGTAAAGTAAGATTTAACTTCTATCTGACCTTCTATATGAGAAACTTACAGATAATTTGACCTGCCTAAATGTACTCGAGACCAGAATAACATGTATTGGTCTGATTGTCATTGATTGGGATCCTGTTTTTATCCATTCCTTTATCATCAGCACAGCGACATCTGTACTTATTCAAGATATGTTTGTGTAAACAAGTGATCCAATATAGTTGTATGGTCGCTGCCATGGACTCTAAAATTACCCAGATTATGGCAGACATTTTCAAATGTCCCATTTAATACATAAACACAAATTGTAGCCTACATGTGTTATATCTCATAATGTACTGGTACACAATTATCCCCATGTAAACAAGCTGATACAAACATTGCAGTCTCTATGTATCCAACATGTTTTTATGTCTAGACATTTAATTTGATTAATTTGTTTAATTCCCATTAAATTCCAACCTAACACAATAAAATCCCAGACCTGTAATACTAAAAGGTAGAAAACGGGTAAAATACAAGAAATCCCACAGAAGTAGAAAATAGTGTTATAATAATGAAAGATGTACAAATATATATATATATATATAGATGTATTGGTGTAGTTGTCATTCTAGTTACTTAATGTAGATTTTTAATTGGCATTGCTGAAAGTCATCATGATAGACTATTTTGGTCTTTGGTTTAATACTATGTTGCTTGTTTAATAAAAGTTTGTATTTTTCAAAAAACCTCAAATCATGGTAAAAAAAAAAAAATGAAAAAAAATATCCTCAACATAGGTGATATAACTTGAAATCCAATCAGTCTCATTAAATCAGTTTATTTTTGCTTTCATAGAAAAATATCAAGCAAACAGTGTATGCATCATTTTGGATTTCATACTACAACTATTTGAATATGGTTACTTACATTGTGTATGCTTCTGTAATTTGAGTATCGTTCTACAAACCTAAATTCACAATGATGAATTGTTTTAACTTTAGAAAGTCAGTTTTATCATTGCTGGTCAATTTAAGGTTTTATTTCCAAAAGATTGAAGAAAGCATTGTGTGCAGACTCGTTCAATTTGCCAGACACAAGACCATTCATCATCAATGACTGACAGTCAGGTGGTTAAATCTACTTTAACTTTAATGATATGTTGAACATAACCTGAACTGTTCAATGCTCCAGTACTAGTGTATTCAGTATTCAAATGTACGTTTATAAAAAAATAAATGAAGGAACAGCTTTTAAATTCTCAAATCCAATCAGTCTCATTAAATCAGTTTATTTTGCTCTCACAAAAAATGATCAAGCAAAAAATTGATTCATCATCTTGGACTTGCAAAGACTTATTGTAAGTAAAGTACACCAGATTTTATCAAAATATTTGTTAGTTTTTTAATAACATGAAAATACTAAAAATCAATGTCCCTTATAATTGCAGATTCAAAAGGAGGTGAATAATATATATCATAATAGTGTAAGATTTACCCTTCTATTAGTTAATCAATACAGCATACACAATATCAAATGTTGATCCAAAGTTTTCCAATACTTTACAGTTAATATTTGTGTCATGACTTTGACTACAACTATTATGATTTATATACATGCACAATACCGGGGTATTTATTTCAAATCCAATCAGTCTCATTAAATCAGTATAGTTTTGCTTTCAGGAAAGTATCAAGCAAAATGATTATCCATCATTTTAGATTTGAAATATTTTATTACTACTCAGTAGTGTAGTTTCAGTGTTACACTGATAACCAACAGTTTATAAATCCTAGGTTTTCCTGTAAAACCAAATTTTAAGAATCTTACCATGTGCTATACATCTGTAATAGGGAACTAGTGTTAAAGTTGTTTGGTTCATCACATTTTTTTTTGGACAAAAATGAAAATTTTCCATTTCACAAAAAAAAAAAAAATGTTCCTAGCTACTTCCAGGTAGTATACATAAAGACTGACATAATAAAACGACATGTGATTAAAGAGATGCACAAAATAAATATTGACCAGTTCCCTCCAAACAACTTCCTGATAATACTGAGCACTCGTTAAATTCACATTAAACCCATTAGTTTTACTTTCCACGAAAAGATTTACAATGTCTGGTATTTAGGGTTTTCAAAGAATTTTCTCTGCCAGCTTGTTTTAATTATAAGAAAATTTCACATATTTATGTTATGGTTATGCAATGTATTAATACCAAATTGTATTTTCTCATAGATTTCAAGAAACTACATCATAATATAAGATATCAACAAGCAAATTGTCTGCATGAAAATCCCCAACAACTTACTGGGAAAAAATTCTTTGACCAAGCAAGGCATCAAATCCAATCAGTCTCATTAAATCAGTTATTTTTGCTTCCACACAAAATGTCAAGCAAACAGTTGTTGCATCACTTTGGACTGTGCCAAGGGTTTTCCTATTAAATCATGCATGATCACAGAGTGGAAGTTACTGAATCCAAATAAAAGTGTCTGGGTTCTATAGTTACGTAGGAGTTTCCATATACAGTAACATGTCTGCTTGTCAAGAATTAGCGATTCTCTGAAAAAGCCTAACTGCTCTTCTAAATCAGATTTCCAAGATATAAATAGTTTGTTAAACATACTATTTTGTAAACATACTTTGACTGTGAACAGGATGGGGAAAATTTATTATATTGTTGTTTTTCCTTTCTTCAATACTTTCCATTTGACAAAAACGAAGTTATATATAAAGAAGCTAGAGAAATTACGACAAATGTCGTCTTCTGATTTTAACTGAAAATCTTCCACATCAGTGTTTTCCCCATTAGTTTCCTAGATCGGAAAACAATATTTAATGCTTGTTCCATTCTCCTCACTGCCCGGGTAATTTCAGTACAATTTTTATTCTCTACTCATCACGACCTTGAGTCACCTTGAGATAAATGGCCATGCTCTGGTACACGTACACCAAGCCTTTGGTTTTCCGAGACAGACACATTATTATACAACTTTAACATCTATTAGCTAGATGTGCCTCATTCATCAATCAAAGTCAGATATATATTTAGAACACTTTGAAAATTATCTGAGTTCTGTCAAGATTTCAAAATGGAACTGACATCATGATAACACATAGATTCTAACCCCATCCATCATTTATATTATGACCCAGACTGCCGTCTTCATCTATTACATACAAGGGCCAGAAACAATACTTATCATACGATACGAAAATTTAATTACCAGTAATGGCTGCTACTATGATCAGTATCAAGCATTACTGTGGTCATGAAAACTCTTGATTCCTAGGCTGTTTGCCATGCCTACTGTAACCAGGTAAGGCATTAGGCCTACTAATACAGAATACTCTCAGGACAGGCAATAGGTGCTAATGGGGATAGAATGTTCTGTATACTCTGGTGGTACAGGATTTTTGGAAAATTATGGTAAACCCAAAATTTTTTTTATTTTACGTTCCCCGTCGTCATTCACTTTTTTATATGGACAGTCCTCTTGTCTACACGAACCCCTGGGGTACTTTTTCATTGATTTATTGCCATTTGATATCACTCATTTTTGTTGTTTCAGGAACAACCATAATTACTGTGGTACTTATAGCCTACAACCGATACAAGCTTGTGACTGATATGATGGGGTACAGACGACTCTACAGCAAAACTAATATTGCTGCAATGATAACATTATCATGGACACTGCCGGTCATTTTCCTGATTCCAGCCATTACAGAACTGTGGGGAAAATTTGGTTATGTTCCAATGATGGTGACATGTAATCTGCTTCTGGATCACAACAGTCAGATGTTTAAAATATTTTTGTTGATTGTAAGAGCAGGAATTCCTTGCGGACTTATTGTGTACTTCTACATCAAGATATACATGACAACCTACAACAGTTCAAAGAGGATTCTGTCCAATATGAGACTGCTTGCACCAATGGATACAAACAATTTGCGACGGGAAATGCACCTCACAAAAATGATGGTGGTGATTTTCTTGGTGTTTGCGATTTCTTACTTTCCGTGCACCATAACTGGTCTTATAGACTGGAACCATATCATGTCCAAGACTTTCCACATGTTCTGTGCTACCACAGTGTATATTGGCAGTGCATTAAACCCGTTGTTATACGGGCTGTTTAATCAACAATTCAGAGATGCATACATCAAGTTACTGTGCAGGAACAAACAAAATGCACCTATTCCAGTGAAGCACTGACAGTTCGAAACCACATTAAATTGTTTTGTACATGGCCTACACATTGTATTTACAAGAATACTGCCAATCCAACTTTTGTAAAAATATGTTTTAGATGATACATCAATGTAAAAAAAAAAATCATGAAATCATTTTTGTGTATATCATCTGAGAGTGATCATATTAAAATCACCAGAAAAAACTGAACTAATAAGAATGAAGTCTCTAAAATTTCTACAGAACTTTTCTTTATATACATGTAAATATCTCTACTAGGACTGAGGTTAAGTAACAATTTATTTCAATATGAAAAGTAAATTTGAAATTTCATGAAACATGTACTCTAAAATAAATATTCAAGAAAGAAGTTTCTCTTCGAGATTTCAGAGGACACGAGTTGGAGCATCAGCATATTAGTTATTTTGTTATCATAAATGAGAATCATATCAGTGTTATTGTTGTTGTTTTTAATGTGTTTCTGATGTTTCTTTTAACAGATCTAATAAAAATGTGAATTCTGAATGACATCAGTCTTGTTCTTTAAAACAAAGGCCAGCATTGGACTTTTAGGTCAATAACTTGAAAAGAATAAGGGGATTGCATCTGATCTGGAACTAACACAAACAACTGGAAACCTCAATGAAATTAACAAAGTTTGTTTAAAGTTTGTTTTAATACCTTCAAAAATGATTGGAAAATACAGTGGAACCACTTAATGTCACTTCTGTTAATGTCACTTTCTGGTTAATATCACATTTCTTTGAAACACATTTTTTCACACACACATATATACATATCTATTCTCTGTAATCCAATATCTCATAATATTGTTTATTTAATTTGGGCAACGTATCATATCACTTCATTTCACAACTAACACGAAAGGAGCCTTGGGCCTTTACAGTTATCTAACAATTAAGACCTTTCTATGCAAGAATTGGAAGTAGTTAATGAATGATCAAAGCAGTTAAAAATATTTTAGCAATGAAGGCAAAAAATATTTTTTATTTTAGTTTCTTTACATTCTCAAAAAAATTTCAGCTCAATGGCACCAGTGGAATCAAAAAGTTTTAAAATGTGTTTTTCAAGGTGCCTCCATAACACTCGGTCAGGACCATCTCCAGATCATTTCAAGCAAGTTTCAGCTTAATCCTACCGGCTGAGCATGAGAAGAAGTTATAAGAAGGTTTTGTTCATGGAAAGCATGGTTGCACAATCAAGTTATGATATGGCTGCCATGGCTGTCATAAACTTTTGACGGGGTCAAAAACAAATAACACTGCATGCATGCTACTGGTCAAAATTCTAGATTTGTTTGGGTTGATTTATAGGTTTATCAACTTCATACAATCATTTTGAGACCAAGTCTCCTAGAAGTAGCCAGTGACTACCCATCTGAACATCACGAAAGAGAATCCATGCATGCTATTCAGATCCAGAGCAACTGAGGTAGATTGTTTTGACACAACCGAGACAACACAGGACAGTTCAACATCATCCTCAATACTCTAGAGGTCATGATCACTTTCGCTCTCTGCACCCCAGGAACTTGTCAAGGTAATATTGATGGTTTCATGTGTGGAACCTTGTGCACAAGGCAAAAAGACTAGTTTGATAGTTTGAAATGAATCTGATGGTTGTGTAACTGTAAATTGTAATGGCTTTAAGTTGGGTATTGCTCTTTTGTAATCTTCCAAAGGAGCTATCGGCCTGTGATTGGTCTTTTTTCTTCTGGAACCAATCAAATTACTTCGCTTGTGCCTTCAATTTTGCCTTCAAGAGCAGGAGTGATCAAGAGTATCAAGAATGCTCCGACATATAATATATGCTTCCAAGAAATATAGATTACAGACTACCTCAGGTATGTAGAGTACTGAACACCTCTGTTTCATCATCTGAGGTTACATTACCCTTTAGTCTGATGCTCCAAAGATTTGATTTTTTTGACAAGTTTGAACCCTACTATCATGATTATGAGCAAAAATAATTTCTTTTTGCGAAACTTTACCAGAAACATACTTGTTTAACATCAGGAATTTATTTCAGGCATTCTAAGTATTTTGTTCATCTTGATGAGAAGAAGCTGTTTGAGTGTTTCAACAGATTTGATCTAAAAACCTTGAGTTTGGGTCCAAATAATTTTTTGTAATCATTGTTGGTCTACATTCCTAGAATGAAGACAGATGGATGCAAGATGGAAACACCCAACTAATTGGCAGAAGAAGTAATTCAATGAACAAATTACTTCACGGTTTTTTTTGGTATAAAAATTTGATCACTTACCAGACTGAAGATTTGCAAACGATGGCTTCTTTCTTCTGAAAATAAAACAGAAATAGTTTAAACACTCAATCAAATCAACCAACTGCTATAAATCTAACAGACAATGAGTGATATGCATGTATAAATAACAATTTCCCTCCACAATTATCTAAGACTGCTGACCAATAGACAGGATGCTTATTTTTTCACTTTTGTTGGGACGGAGTTTGGATGTTCAGTGACTCAACGTCAACTTCTTACAGTCGATAGAATGTCAGAGTAATACAGACTTACTTCAATATTGTCATATCAATTTTAAAAAAAAAAGAGTCTCTCCTCGGAGTCACCTAGATTTTTTTTTTTTTAAATCAACAGGGAAATGTCTGCCAAGGTATTTCAATATTTGCAAACTTTTTTTTCAAACAAGCAATCACAATGAATACGTCATCGGTGACCAAGGACATGTCTTTCGATTTTCGTCCACTGATGTGGTTTGCTCATAGACTTTTTTTATGAAGAAAATTAATCAGAAGTCAAGAAGCAACTGGCTAATTTCATGGGGACACATTATTTTGTATTGCCCTTTCATATCCTATCTCATTCCAGGTAAAATTGATTGAATTGGTATAAACCAAACAGAGTTAATTCCCATTTCTATCTTTATTAACTTTTATTGTATTGCCATTTTTCGGCAAATTCCTCAAACACCAAATTTCTCTTGTATATTGTATGCTAATTGAGCAGTGGTCAACCAAATACATGTTATAATTTTTTTTACTGCAGACTGTGTTAAAGGCATATTATAAAATTAGATGCCTAAATATATTGCATTTGGTAATCCTGTGATTAGTCAATAACTGGATCATTCGTTTTATGTGAAATATTGGGCAAACATTAACATTAGATTTTGCATTTTCACGGTTCTCTCACATGGACACTTGACGAAATAAAAACAGTTTGTGGTATTTTGGAGTTTCCGATTGAGATTAATCAAATCTTGAGAAAAAAACAGTGGTAGCAGTGTTAAGGGAGATGACTGGTGGGCCGTGTAGATATTGTGATTTCCCCGACATGTCCTGCTTTAGCTCAGTTGGTAGAGCTGTTGGTTATCACGCCGGAGACCCTGGTTCAATTCCTGTCGTTGCACTTTGCAGAAATGTGCATTTTCCCTGTACTTTCTCATCCGAAATAATCTGTGCTTCATCCAATCTTAATGACGGATAATGTTTCTGAACAAAATTTTCCCTCTTTTTCAAAATTTCATATACTAGCGAACATTTTCTCATCGGTATCCCTAACCAAGACGTTTAAGTGGAATGCTTTTAGCAATTATTCCTGTATATATTTTTACCGTAGAAACGCGGAGTATTTCTCATAATATCCATCTCTTGACAAAATCACATTCTACTGATTACAACACTTTACTGTGAAAAAAAGTAAGTATGGTCAAATGTTGTAACCGACTATGACAACACCGAGAACGTATTCCGTGAAAGAGATATCAGAAGTTAAAATTGCAAATAAGTGCAAAAAATCACCACAAAAGATTACGATAGATTTTCTGACATGAAGTGAAAATCATGTCTTAAGTTAAATTTATTAGTTTGGATAGATGATGATGGATATAAACGGATTGTAAATCACATGAAATGTTTTCATTACCAGTAGCGGAAGTTGTTCAGCGGAAAAGGAAATAAGGAGGGAATCCTCGCCAGGGGTCGCGCTTATCAATAATTTGGGAAATCCCGAAACATTCGTTTTATTTTTATTTTGTCATAATAAAAAAATCAATTCTCTATTGATGCTTTTGTTCTGTCAAACTGGTAGAAATATCCTGATGATTTCTACTATCCAAAATCTTTAAATACACTAATTTTAAACACTTTTCCGGAAAGCATAATACCGTGTTCGATACCAGTAATCAGTAGTGTAAGAGTTACTTCCGTCAAAAATCTACTTGACAGCTGGAGTGACATTGTACGAAAGCTTCTGTTGTAATGTGACTCATTCTGCTGTTTGTCTCACTGATAGGTATGTATAGAAACCGTTGCTGAAATTGCACTGAACGCGAACAATTTGTGCTTTGGGTTGCATATTACAGGAGCAATGAACTGTGTGGTCAACGATGTAGACGACAATAGTGTGTGGGTGTTTCCCCGAACATAACGGGTTATAATTAGGAACATCCTTTTTTTTAAGAGTATGCTCAGAGTCTCCAAGGCTCCAAGGAATGGATGAAAAATATTCTTTATTCAGATAAGTTTGCATACAGGTAAGTAAACATGCAATAGGCACTGCGTTATACCATTTTATGATTTTAACTGCACGTTTAATGGCTTTAATAAAGATGTTTAATGTTTAATCGTCATTTAAAAGTAAATTTTATAAACATTAAAAAGAATGAGATTAAAACAAAACCCATGAGTACATCCCAATAATGCGGTTGATGTAGTTAGATGAGAGGTAAAAATGAATGTTGCAAATTTTATGCCATATTGGAACCCTTCTGCACCCTTGATCCTTCAGAGTCAGACGTACATAAGATATATGTGGTATACATCTATGCTTCCTTGCAGGTAATAATGCGTTTGGGGAATAAATCAAAAGACACATTAGATGTGGTCAAGCCTGTGTAGAACGTAAATATGTACTTTCTTCAGCCATTAAAACTGAGTGAAATAAAGATATTTCCAATAAATAATTTCCAGACCTTTTATGCTGAAACAACATCATAGTGCAGGAACAAACTTAAACTTACATTCATGTCTAAGTTGATTGAAAGGTTGGTGAGTTTATGGGCTTTGTTTTGAACACTATCAATGAAAAATCACAGATCAACAGAAGTTAATGCTACAGGGTAGACTGGGGCCAACAGTGGGATATTTTCAGATAGCAAAGCCTAGTTGAATACAGGAGATTTAAAGTCTGAACTCTACATTGACTAGTAATATAATGTGGTTTGGTTTGGTTTAGTTTAATTTATTGTTGCTTTACTTCCTATTAATAGCAAGAGTCATGTAAGGATATGCAAGGTTTAAGTAGTGGAGGAAAACCAGAGTTCACGGAGGCAAACCACTGACCTTTGTTCAGATACCTTACCCACTCCCCCACTGTGGCCCCATTATATAATGCAGCATTCCTACTGCTTCTTGATGATATGCCAGAATAAGTTTTTAATCAGAATGAATACACAGAAACAAAAAAGTATTAAAATTTGTACAAGTGGCACAGCATGTTTGAATGGCTCAAAAGAGAATTCTGTCAGAAAAGTTATTTTAACAAGAAAAAATCATCTGATTGGAGAAATATCTTGTCCTGGGCCATATGGTTATTTGAAGATTTTGATACATTTGACACCTGTGGCCTTGGAAATGGGTTAATTAGATTCAGTAGAACAAATTATAGTTCTTGTTTCCAGCAGTTTCAAGGCTCTGGACCTTTTGGATGTGTATCAGGAAGAGTTGTTAGATATTTATTAATATCTTATTTTCTTTAAAGTGGGTCAAGGTAATTTATTTGAACTAACTTAAACACTGTTACTTTTAGTATGCAGCTGATGAAGACGTGTGATTTGAGAGAAATATTGCTGGTCACTGATTGACAGACACTACTCCATAACATAAGCTTGCTAGCCATTTAATCTCATTGACATATGTTTACACATGTCTAAATTATTGGAATTAAAGAATTCAAATGTATTGAAATTCAAGTTTCAAACAGATATGTAGTAAATATTTTGACAGGTTAACAATGAATATATATCACTTGATATACCATGTATTGATATCACATATGCATGTCAGTGTCAGAAACGGCTGTAGAAAGTATAGTAAATGTGTGATATGCACTGATAATAGAACCATAAAAAACATAGCTATTACAAAGAACACAAAAGAGATGTATTCAGGACAACAGAAATTTAAATAGTAGCAACAGTGAAGTATAGAATGCCTTCCCCATTGTGATCATTATGTTTGATGGCGCTAATGTCACCTGAAATTTTCTAAGGAATTTTCAGTTATTTATAATTTTTGCAGGTCAGTACTTTGTATCCAGTTATAATTATATTCTTGGACATCATTTTTAAAAATTTTGCTGAGTTCACTCCTATTCTAATTCGTTTTTCAAAATGTGGATAAGAAACAGAAACTTTGGGATCTTTGTTTCAAACATTTCTGCTGATTTGATTGACCTATGAAGTTACTAATTAACACTGGTTATTGTTTGTGGCAGTGAGAACTGAAATGGCCACAGCTGCAGAGGTGAGAGAGGGCTTCCTCTGTCCTATGTGTATGAAAGATCTTGGGACTATCTCCCAACTTCAAGGACATTTTGAAGAAGAACACTCTGCAGAGGACAAAGATGTTCTCCAACAACTTAGAGGTATTTATATCCATAACATAATTGTCTGTCTTTGTACAGTTATAATATTTGTAGGAGTTGATTACTCTTAAACACACATCTTTCTAGATATTAACTTGGTTGATGACCAGTGTCCAGTAGCTCGATCTAATGAATACTTGTATATGTATCAGCATAGAAGAAATCTAAATACATTAAGACCAGCACAGTCATGTAAATATGGTTGGCACATTTTGGCTGGTTAGATCTGTCCTGAGGGTCCGCATTTATTTATGTCTACCAATGAATCAACTCACCTCGCCTATTTTTGTTGGAAATCATTAGTAAATTAAAGCCATTAAAGCTGAGAATTGTTTATACTGAATTGCATCTGCTGCACAGAAAAGACCTGTCTCTGTAAAGATGTTCAGAAAATGTCTCTAAGCATGGCCTTAAGTTTCCACACAACCTCATTAAATGTAGATAAATATAAATGTACCACATTTCAGGTCTAGAGAATTTTCTGTGCATTGGATAGTTGATTAAGTAATTCATAGTATATGTTTGCCTTTTGTTTGTTTATCTCACATTCATAATTTATAATACTTTTCTGTGTAGTTAATAAAAAGATACTAGGTCTTCCAAAATTCTTTTTGAAGATTAAATTTTTACTTGTTAAGTTAATGTACATATGATGAGATAACACTCCATTGGATGTTGTCAGGGCTTTTTGGAAAAACTATAAAGAAGATTCTGGGAGACAAGGATACTCCAAATAATTCTGAAGTGGCCAGTTCAAGTTCTGACAATGGCCAGCAAGGTTATATTCCAGCCCCTAGTGTGGCAGGATATGATCCATCGCTGTGGGACCCCCAGGAACCAGGTACGTCTATAATGTAGAAAGACCAAAAACCAGCCTACTGTTAATCACTTATGTTCTGCATGGTATTTATTGTTGCGTTAATATATGATGAGAGCCGATCACAAACCAGAGCCAACATCTAAAAACCCAGTAGTAAAACAGTCATTGCTGAGACATATGCTATTAGTATGAACATGTTATGAAGGGGATGTTAAATACTGCACATTATGTCTGGTCAATTGATGTCCTGTTATCTTCCCTTGAAAACAACACACTTCACTCTTCAAACATAAAAAGTGTTGGGAATTTTCACATTGGTTTCTTTTATCTAGATAAATACAATTAAGTATGGACACAACATGTATCACATGACTGAATCACATTTCAGGTATAGTCACATGACTCTCATAAAGAAAATGGCAGCCAGTATGAAGCTATTGGTTGTCGATATAGGACCTTTCCAGAGTCCATGTCTCTAATAGCTTATTTGCGAATGTAAAGTCATTTCTAGATTGGTGGTTGTGAAATTATGTATTTGCGCATATGTCTGCAGAGTTGAGTTTCTGACATAAAGTGTAAGCTTATCGAAAGTATTGATAGGGAATCTCTGTCAGATTCCAGGTATAAAAACAGATTTATTTCAGTTCAACTGTTATACATTGAATGAATAAAAATTTCTATGTTTGAAAGCGAAAGGAATTTGACACCAGTCCAGGATCTGATGGAAGTAAAGTATAAGAAGTTATATCCGTAGGCCTGTGTCTTGTTATTGTCCTATCAGGGTTTACATATATGTACTGCCTAAGTAGATTCAGATAAAGTCAGTATTCAGGTATATTGAGTTGTTTTACCTTATTTTTGTAGGCCATACACGGTCCTGGACTGACACATTCAAGACTGTACGAGGAACCAGAGTTGATAGGTTTGTGGTAGAAACCAATAAACTTATCATTAGACTTGACAAACTTACTGGACAAGATGCCCCTTCTGAACCAAGTAAACGCAAAGGTATGTAAGATATAGAAAAAAAGTGTAACCCTGGTATACAATTGGAGTTATTTTCCTCCAGTCATAAGGTCCTCCCAAGAATTTAGAATGTTGGCTTAATCAGTAACAAGGGATACACTTTCAACACTGTATGACCTTTAAAACTGACAGTAAAAAAACTCTGTTGTTCTTAAGGTGATGACTCAATTAATTTGAATATCTAGGTCTAAAATACATGTATGATACCAACAACATTGCAACATATGATAGGAAATCAAATACTTTGTTTTTTAGACAGTTCATTTCTATTTTTCTGTAGCTTATGAACGTGCTCTTGTGCCCTGGTTACCTGACAAAATGATCCCTTCGTGTCCAACTTGTGGTAGGACATTTGGCCTCACCAGGCGGCGCCACCATTGCAGACTCTGCGGGGACATCATGTGTGACAAGTGCTCTCATTTCATGCCATACACATTTGCCAGTAAGGAATACAAAAAAAAAAGAGAGAGATTATTTTTCATACATAGCAGAATAATAAATTCACACTGAATTTCAACACTTGTATCTGCACTATTGCAGATATATCCTTTGATGTTCAGCAATGTAAAATAAGCACTAGGCAAATTGCAATATTTTCTTCATTTTGCAAAATTACTTTTGTATTTCCTATGGGGTATTCTAATAAAAACAGGTGTTTATACTGATGATTTTCGTTGAAATTTATCTCACATAATTGTTTAGAGTACAATATTGATCTGACAGCTGATAATTTATGACATGTAAGAGAACCAAACTGAGTCTTTACTGGTGTTGCAGAGAAGCTGACTGATCCAGCCTTCCAGACTGGAGGTGAGGTCGGCTTTCTAAAACGTAGTGGCAGCAACACTAGTCTGAACTCCCTAATGGGTATGGATGGGGACCCACACATTCGGACATGTGAGAACTGTCGCAAACTGCTAGAGCGCCGAGACCAACAGATGGAGCAGAGGAATACTCAGCCTCCAATTGTACTTCTGTATCAGGTCAGCAAAGTTTGATATTCTTCATGTTTCTGTATCAGGCATTGAAATTTAACTTTTCAGTCAAACTTCTACATGAGGTCAGCAAAGTTTGATATACTTTCATATTACTGTATTAGGTCAGCAAGGTTTGTTACAGTGTCCTATATCTGTATCGGGTCAACAAATTTTGATATTCTGGCATACTTCTGTACCAGGCATAAAATTTAACTTTTCAGTAAGACTTCTGCATGAGATCAGTAAATTATGATATTCTGCCTTACCGCTGTATCAGGTCAATATAATGTGATACTAGGACATGTTTCTGTATCAGGTGAGCAAAGTTTGGTCTGCGTCATACTTCTGTATTAGGTGAGCAAAGTTTGGTCTGTGTCATACTTCTGTATCAGGTGAGCAAAGTTTGGTCTGTGTCATACTTCTGTATCAGGTGAGCAAAGTTTGGTCTGTGTTATACTTCTGTATTAGGTGAGCAAAGTTTGATATTGAGTCATATGGCGTACCGGGTCAATAAATTTTGATACTTTTGTCATCTTTTTGCATTGGGTTTGCAAACTATAATCAGTATATATATCAGGTTACTTATATGTGATATCCTGTTCATGTTAGCAGATTATATCATTTTGTCATCCTTCTCTATCAGGTCTTTGAAAGTTGCGTTTCGCCGATGTACCCAGGCTCTTTTGTGTCTATCTTAGCTTTTATGCTTATGTTAAGAATTTCTAACTTTTCCTCACTACAACTTCCAAACCTCTTTGTTAGAATCACCAGGTAATGAATTACGCAGTTGAAAAATTTCTTGACAAGATCATGAGTTTGGGGCCCAGACAGGGTACAAGTCAAAAAACCCTATTTCTTAATCAGTAGTGTTACCTTGTCTAAATTCACATAACTTTTCATGTTTTTTTGTGTGTTTCAGAAAATGAGTCAATATGTTGACAACTCTAATGATTTACTGGCAGAGTACATGCCCATGGTTGAGTCTCTAAGGTAGGTTCCCTATGTACTCTCTGATATCATACTGATAACCTGTAATAGTTTCACTCCGGTAAAATCTACAATTATACTCTTTCATATTATATCCCCATGGGGAGTTCACTCAGGTTTATTACATCTACAATTATACTCTCTCTTTTTCTTTAAGTTTAAGTTACAGGACGCCGTGAAAAGTAGTTATTAGTATAATCTGTACGGTATATGGGTGAGCTTATAACTAAGCATGGGCTAGATGGAAGATTACCAAAGCATTGTTGAAGATGTATATTTTCCAGACTGTTTCCTTATCTATCTTTACAGTAATGGAGAATCAACACATAATCTGCAGTCAGCACAGCAACTGAGAGCTAAAATCCTCAAAACTTACGAATTAATTGATGGCCTTAGGTAAGCAACATCAGGACCAAAGACTTGTTTTAAAAAATAACCTCAAATACCTGTAACTGATACTTTTGTATATTGTCAAAATTCTTACATTATTTATCCAATCAATACATACTTATTTTACCAATAAAATAACATACTATATTATATATATTTTGCAATCTTCACAGTGATGTTCTCATATATGGTATATGACATAATGACTTTAGATATTTTGACAAACAAGACATCAACTTTGGCAGCTTACCCGGTAATCCAACTGATATAACAGATCTGAAAGAAAAATGTCATTTCTGTAAACAAACCTCATGCCTCAGTGAATATTTGAGTTGATCCCTTTATTTGGTTGTTAAGTTTTGTCATTGTTTGTATTTAAAAGCAAAAGAATACTGCAACTTGGGATGAACTCCGAGGAGGGACCAACAGCCAAACAAGTTCAACTTCAGAAGGCCATTCGGATGCGTGCCAGTAATGTGATGCAAGAGAATGTCATTGGCCTACAGGCCTTACCAACAGAAGAGCAGTATGCTGTGTTACAAGAACGGCGCAAACAACAGGTGCAACGCCGTATTGCCTTGGAGCGTCAGGCTACGTTGGAGGCACAGGAACGGGAAATGAAACAGCGAGAGCAAAAGGAGCAGAAGGACCAGCCTTCAAAACCTGCTGCTGGGATACCAGCTGGGCCTCCTAGTGGGAAGGTGAAAACTAAAGATGGGAGGGACAGAAGTGGGTCACAAATTCTTTCTGGCTGGATTCCGTCTGAATCCACTATAAACTTTAATGACAAAGACGACCCAATGATACAGCAAATGAACATCATCCGGGGTTACATCAAACAGGCCAAGCAAGCACAGAAATTAGATGAGGTCACAATGCTGGAACAAAATTTAAAGGAACTCGGACAGGAATATCTACGACAGCAGAATCAATCCTAGTTATGTGTCACCACAGAAGCTGACTGTAAACCTGTAACTATGGTAAGATGTGCCACCTTGCCAACATGAATGACTTTATGTCTAAAAATAGATGTGGAATCAGAACTGGTCATTTTTTGTCTTACACTGCTGTAAGTAAGTGTCAGACAATTAATAGGCAACAAGGCATTATATACTAGTCGTGAACAGGATTTCTCTCAGTTGTCTTTACAACAAAAACTTTCAGAAAAGTAGGAGCAATCAGAATGACTTTTACCCATAAGTTTCCCTGTGTCTTGTACCAAGTACAGCCTTCTGTAATGAACATCTAGGCCATCATCCACATCTGATGTAACCAGGAATTCATGTCCTCAGACCATGTTGAAAGTGATATAAACAGTTTAGTGTGAAAAGTATATTATGTGAAGCTGAAACTGTGTGAGAAGAATGATTTTTACAGAAAATTTCTTTAATATTGCTGATATGGGTCGTTAAATGTGCAATAACAATTGTTTTTCTTGATTATTTATGATTAAGTAGTTGATTTTATGCATTAATGATATGAAATTACTGCTTTATATGTTTGGTAACTGCCTGTGCTGCTATTTATCCTGTATTTAGATACTGTAAAATGATAAATATTTGGGGAGCTCATAATTTGTTGGTTGTGTGGATATTTTTTTTTTTTTTTTTTTTAAATAAGAGCTCACTTTTTAATGGATGTCCCATTCCATTGATAAGTAGTACTCACTAACTAAACTTATATTGAAAACTGCAAAATTTCAAAAAGAAGATCAATTCGAGGGCATGTGAATTTGTGAATATCCACAAAAATGATTGATTTTACGGTATTTATGGAGTTTATTATTTATGTCAGTTTTCTATATATCTTCTACCAATATTTAATCATACCACAGACAGGGTTAAGATTATCATGATTTGTTGTTTAAAAATCAGAACTTGTGATGGACAGATTGTTGTTTGTACATTGTAACAGCTGAAATTAGGCAGCAAAACAAAAAAAAAAAACCATAGTCTTACCGACTGAAAAATCATGGCATCAATTAGTGTCCTGACAACGTTCACCCTGATTTCTCTAATTTGCACAGCTGTATATCATTCCAGTGTGCTTAAGGTAGTGATTCTGTGTAAGACTGCCATTCTTTGAAGCGGGAGACATAATTTTTTTTTTTTGAATTTCTCCTAGATAAATCCTGTATGATTTATTTCCATTCTAATGTTTTCTGATAGGAAGTTCAGAATGGAGAATATTCATCACTATAGCTGTGTATGTCAGGCAGGTTCGGAGAAGTAAAATGTCAGTTTAGATTGTGAAGTAATGTATCCATACTGACAGTTAAAGCAAGTAGTTTGTGACTTGTGTTATGCAAAATTTGTATCTTCCATTCCTCATCATGTATTATATCATTCCAAAATGTTCACATGCCATTTTTTTTTCTTTATCATTGTTTGCATCATTATGTACAGTTTATGAAAATTTCTGCACTATCCTGAAATAGAATTTAGAAGCTAGTCACCTTTTTGGAGATAGAATTTAGAAAGTTATAGTCTTTTGCAGACATTGATATAAAATGTAGTTCTTAATGGTAGAAAGTTAAAGTCTTTTTCAGAATTTCAGAGAGAGAATTTCAGAAATAGTTTTCTTTCCAATACACCATCCAGCCTATCCAGTAAATTTTTTTTCTGTAAGAGAAAAGAAAATACATATACCTAATACCCATCCACCCATGCACACACACACACACCTCACACACACACACACACACACACACCTCACACACACACACACACACACACACACACACACACACACACACACACACACACACACACACACACACACACACACACACACACACACACACACACACACACACACACACACACACACACACACACACACACACACACACACACACACACACACACACACACACACTCACACACACACACACACACACACACACACACACACACACACACACACACACACACACACACACACACACACACACACAAAGTGGCTATGGAGACAAAAAAAATTGTGATACACATGTTTCAAGTAACATTACAGAGAAAAGTAAAGTAGGATGTTATACATGTAATTTGTTGTTAAATAGATAGATTTGACGGTTTGCTGGAGATGGAAGCTAACAGCCTCACCCCACCGTTTTTATAGAAGTATTATACTTTGTTATAGTGGTAATAATGTTTATGTATGAAATGCTGCCATGTCTTTCATATATAACGTAACTTAGAACCAGTTTTGTTTTGTGTAGACTTGTCTGTGATTGGAGAATGTGATTTAAGCATTCTTAAATGCAAACTTTATCATTTGAAAAAGAAGGAAGCAAGAAAAAAAAAATATGATATGTGTTTCCCAGTTTAACTTGGTAAAAGATTCCAGTTCCTAACAAAAATACACATTAAAGAGTCAGTAAGTCTCATTTGATCACTGTAAAGTAAAATAGCAAGAATATAAATGATGACTGTATAAAATTAAGTACATACCTAAGATATTTGTATTTGAGATAATGCACTTGGATAACAATTTTTTTTCTGATATTGGTATATAGATAAATCCATGTATATGTAACATATTTGTTTAGTACATTTACCATTTGAAATATTAGCAAATCCATATTTAATTAAGTTATCATTAACATTTAACAGTTACAAATGAATTTTATCATTAAGTTTTATTTAACACTAAATAACTTTTTTTTTATTGTGGCATTTTTACAGAGAAATCCTGTAGTTCCTGAGGAGGGGGGATGAGTTATCTCCCCTCCTTGAATAAATGAAGATATGACAGTACTGTCCTGTATTGGGATGGAATGAAACCCATTGCATTAGGATAAACCTGTATACTGTATACCTGACCACAGGGAGTATTGTCTACTGCTATATATCTGAGAAGGTGGCTAGATTGAATGTTAAGGTGCCTGATATGTCTTAATGCATTTCCAAGTTTACGTTTGTATATCCTCGCACAACAGCTCAGTTGTATATCCTTCAATAAGGACTTCTACAATTCTGGTCTTTTGTTATCTTAAGTTGTTAGTTGTACTTTGTGAGAATGCACTTGAGCGATAACCTTTGAGTCTGATAATGTGTGTTTCTGTTAATCAGTTTGTTTACAGTTTGTATTCATGCCTATCTTTCATGGAATGTAGGTATATTACATGTAACAGCTTGTCCGAAGGATGTCAATAGAATTTTTTTCAAAGAGTTGTGAAAAGTTATTCATTTTCATATCAAAACTTCGTGTTAAGCATATTTTCCTTGTCATTTTACTTTTCAAATTTTCCCTTTGTATTATATATAATTTGAATGTCTTGTTGGGAACTTCATAAGGTAAGAAAATATAAAGTGTTACTTTTTTTGTGAAAGCAGAGTGAGAGTACATTCTTGAAATTCCAGGGATTACGGTCAGTTATGATCCCTGCACGTGTGAAAGACATCATTGCAAAATTGAAGACATCCCCTGAAAGTATGGATGTGAGTAATGAAATCAAGTAGTATGGCCTTTTTACAGAATTGTGGCTCTTGAGTGATAGAGTGACTAGTTCTATGCTATACTGGGTTGGATGCCCTAGTATGCAAATTTGGGGTCTTGTATTCATTTTAGAGACATTTTCGATAACAAAGGTCTCTGCCACTTTCTCTTGTTTGTACCTAATACAACATATTGATGGTATATTACATAATTCACAGTAAATAGGCACTCCCTTTAATACACATATAAATCCACTTAGTGTTTTAGCTCATCTCTGGATACACATACACGAACCCCTTAGTGGTATTGCTATGAAAGTTTGTCTTACTCATGCCCACAAATTTTCTTTTGCACATAAGGAAGAGGATGTGTTTGATAAGTAGCTTCTATCTTAATGATACTTGACACTTTTTTCATGAAGACATTTATCTGTCATTGTTGTTTTCTTTAAGTGTTACAGTCTGTTAAGACTTTGTTTTAGAATTATCTGTCATGGGCATATTTCCTTAGCTATCCATTCATTATTCATATTCCTATAAAGCTTCTACATAAGTGTATAAAAATTCCCATAAATAACTTCTTTGTATCCATTTATATACTTAATGTCAGCACAAAACTTACATCTGTGTTGATATAACAATCCAGGCGACAGTGATAAACAGAAAGAGAATATATAATGTAATTACACAAGCAATGGATAATTACAGTCCCAATTATTTAGACATTCCATTGACTTTTACATATCAGTTTTGAGTTGATGAATTCCAAGACAATATATTACGGTCGATAGGATGTCAGAATATTTGGACTAGAATAATTAAAGCTCTTATCCTGTTTTTTGCATGAATCACTGTTCAAGACAGAAATTACAGCCACATACAGTACATCACATTGTACCTTCTTAAAGCATTTATCCATCAATAAGCCCAGGAAGGTAACACATCACCTTTAGACTCAAAGTCAGGGGTAGGGGGTATTACAGGACAATAAAATTGCAATTGTTGGTGATTCTATTAAGCATATCAGATACAGATGGGCTAATTACCAGACATGGGCTTGTTGTTGGATAAAAATGTTAATTTACATGATCAGCCATTCAAATTCTTGCAAAAGAGTTGATGGCACCATATTTGTCAAAAGAGTCAATAGATCAATTTTGTATTACAAATGATCAATATCCTTATGTGAAATTTCTCATTAGGAAACTACAAGCAAACAGCAAATAAAAAATTAATTTTTAAGAAAGTCTTTGTCTTATCTTTTCATTTTATTCGACTAGCTATTAGGTGTCTTTGGAGGAATAATATTTCCCTCATCTTCCAAGGGTGCTTGCTTTTATATTGCTATAAAAACATCAATATCAATAAATTTTACAATTGAAAATTCCCACATTGATCTTGCACTTCTTTACCAACATTAAGATATGAAGATTGCAAAGATTGTACCAAGGTCTCCATTGAGATCAAATATATCTTAACCCCCCCCCCTCCCCTAAAAAAAAACAACCCAAAACACAAAAACAATCCCTTGAGAATCTCTTCATTCCAGAATACCCAGGAGTGATCCTTCCTGGTTTTATCATTAACACCAGCATTATAATGAAAGGGGAACAATGTTCGCTTATGCCATACTGTGGCTGTCTGTTGTTTGTCTATTAACTTTTTTTCCAAATCGCAACCAGTCCTAAAGGACTGAGCACATTTTGTCCAAATTTGGTCAGAAGTATCCTTGGGGAAGCAGAACAAAGATTGTATAAATGGTTGGTCTCAGTCCCCAGGGCCTGAGGGGCTGGGCTCCAAAGGGAAAATTTTGCAAATTCTTTAAAATCCTATTCCTTCCATAGGAAAAATAGGATTTTGCCCAACTTTGGTCTGAAGCATTCTTGGTTGAAGGGGAATCACTTTCATATAAATGGTCGGTGTCAGCCCATTGGGGTGAGAGGATCAGGGCTCAATAGGGGAAATATAGCAAATAAATGAAAATCCTAATTTGATCTGTAGCATTCTCAGGCTAAGATGGATCAATTTGGAAAAATGGTTGGTCTTGACAGCAGGGGTGCAACCCAAAAGTTAAGAAAACTCTAACTAGTTTCTCACTTTAAAATGGTTTTTAATCAAACAATCCAATACATAATTGTCTGCAAACAAGTCAAAACAAAAATAAACAGATCTCATCATCTTAATGTCTGTTTTGAAAACTTTATAACTCTCACACATTCTTAGCTATCTATATACTTTCTCTACTCTCTTCTCAAACAACCAATGCTAATATTTCTAGTACCTTATATCTCACACTTTTTAACATTGGTATTCAATTTGTCTTTCATCCTTAATTAGCACTTAGCAGAAATTTTCAGCCAGCCAATCTAGCCATCTGATCTGATATACTGATTGTATCCTTATAGAGCAACTCTGTAGGATAATGAAATCTGTGATGAATACAAGATATTCTTCTGTAGTGACATATTTGGAGAGTGTAAAATAATTCTTTGGCATTCTTATGACAAATTTCCATTATTCTCATATCTTGCTTTTATTTTTTTTTATTGCAAGATCAGAACAAGTTTATAATTGGAAACAGTGTTATGAAATGTTCTGGAAAGAAATCCCATTATCATATGATCTCCAGTAAATAAATCTACAACAGACTTTAAATATTTCCAAAGGGATTTCATAGACATTGCTGAATTTCCAAGAAATTCTTGTAAAAGACATAAAATTAGTTTAATCGTTTCTATTTCATTATTAAAAATACATTGTATGTACAGTAACTTTAACATGCTTCAAATTTCAATGAAATATTTTGAAAATCACTGCAAGACATTTTTTAATAAACAATTTTATCTTCAACATTAACAACTTAACATTATCTAATTTAAATATTACAACACATCAATGGAAAATGTGAACACGGCAATCATTATTTTGTCAGCTCAGCAATTCAATAGATGTTATTTAGCAAAAGAATAATATACCAAACTCTCAAATATACAACACACATGTACAATTATGTAATGTCATGACATTTATAAATACAAAATTACCTAAGTTAACCTGGGACTTACTAGGTACATGAAAATCCTCTCTACATCAGGAAATTGAGACAGTCTTTATTCTCAAGAGACTACCAATACATAATGATTACTTCACAACTGATAATTCACAAAACTTCTACAGATTGATCTGTGACTTGAAACATTTGACTGTTTTCACGAAAAAAACCCAGACTTAAATATCTCTAAATGTTAAAAATACAATCTTAGCCATTAGACAACACAGATCCAAAGTACAGACTTTTATTTCACTATTAGGATCATATTACAGGATTGATATTTGGCATAAAGAAAATAATGTCGTTTATTTTTTGATCCTATATATTGAGGCAGTCCACATGTAATAATGCTTTTGGCCCTAAATGGAACAGGTCAGTTACAAACATTGTTGTGCTGAAGGACTAAAAAGTGAGGATGACCTATTATCTATCATCTCTATTATGCAATGACTAGAATTTTCTCAGATTTTGGATTTCAGGATATGAGACAGTTTTTTTACAATCTACTTAAATTAATACTGTTTTTATTTGTCTTAAAATAAATCAGTCAGTGCATATTTCTTTTACACACATAAAAAAAGAGGAAGAAAGTGCTTCACGTGCATTAGAGATGACAGTCTATTCAATGGTAAATGAAACTGTTCCTTTCTGCAACTATGATGGAATGATGTTATACAAATGGAATGGTAAACAAAATACCAAAATAAAACAGCAGTGAAACGTAAAAAAAAAGAGAGAAAAAATAAAAGCTTATCTTAAAGTTTGTCCTTTTTTCCTATAATTTGAATACTTTGATTGTGATCTTTGTTATTGTCAACTTACTTTTGTATGTAATTTACTTTTGGGAATATGTTTTAGAGGTAAAATTTGCAAAAAAAAAAAAAAAAACAACAAAGAGAGCCAACAATAATTAATTGTTGTGTAACTCAAAAGTTAGTACTAAGCTGAAAAAGTAAGCTTACAAAAACATCAAAAATGTCATTAAGACATTTGGTATTTATACATGTATTTTGATTCATTATGATTTTGTTGGTAATATGTTTACACCTCTTTGATTAAAGAGTTCCCATATATAACAACCCTTAGATACACAAATGCAGTTAACTTGATTATGGGACAGCAATTTCACACCTACTAGATATATGTACTGGTATTTACAATCTTCATGCTTTATATAAATGATTTATTTCCTTCGTGAAAATTAACAAATCATTACTAATTCAAGCAATATACAACATACAATAAACTATTTAAAACTGTGTTAAAGGTGAGGTTCCAATAAATTCTGATATCCTCTGTATTTAAGGAGCATAATGTAGTCACAACTACTCATTCAAAATTGCAAAAAAAAAAAAAAAATTATGGTAGTTCTATTTCTTTATGTATAGAGAGGGTCCCCATAATTCAACTGTATCCCTGTTTCGACCTGTACATGTATAATTATGTAACAATAGCTGAGACAACTACCTTTGGCAATTGTAAATGTTTGACATAATTTTGCTCCCATTTTAAAGGTAAATTTACAAATTTCTACGAGGTAAAACCTCCAAGGTGCAATATTTCTGAAAAATCATACATTTTGCAAATTTTAAACAAGTGTAGCAAATGGATTAAAAGATTAACGTAATACAATTATGCTAATTTTGAAGTCAAAATGATTTCATTACTTCTGGATAGTCACTCAACAATAGAACATTCAACTTGAGATCCCATATCTCAATAGTAATCACTTGATTCATTATTGAACATAAGACATTAGTGATTTTACAGACACCTTACATTTTCAAGTCGGTGAAAATTGGCAAGTTATAATGGTATGGATACATACTTAATGTTTATGGCAAATACTTTATAAATGACTAGAAAACACGATGAAATGTAATGAGTCAATGTTGACAATTTGGATTTTCAGACTGTTTGCCTATCTTCTTGGATCATAAATCACTCTTCAGAATTCAAACAAAGAGAGTGAAGCCAAAATGCTTCTGTATAAAATATAGTCATGATTAGTGGATTCATGTTAAGCAAGTTGTCATAATATTTAAGCTGATTTTTGCAAATGTCATTACATGGAATACATTAATGTCACCTTGTACCAAAATTTCAAATTCAACTTGTAGGCAAATATGAGGAGACTGTTGAGTAATTCTGTGTCTATTTTTCTGACAGTGACCATTTTGAGCTCCAGTACATTTATTTTGTTTTCGGATTTAAATCACATTTTGTAGTGTCATAATCAGTAAAGTTAAATAAGACTCAACAATCTCTTTTCAAAGAGCAGGATTAAAAAGAATTTGCTCTATTGTCCTTCTTAGGCTCAGTCCCTCCTGCCCCATATGGCCAAGACCCACAATTTACACAAACTGATTCCCCTTCCCCAAGGATGCTTCAGATCAAATTTGGGCAAAATTCAATCATTCCACTTCCCTTATTTGTTAAATCATTCCCCTCCTCCAAGTTTGGTCAAAACCTGCCGTTCAGGACTAGTTGTGATATGTAAGAAAAGTTGACATAGACAGAAGACAGATGCAATCATATGCTAAATCTCTTTCAGTATGTACTTGAAACATTCAAATGAGCATGGATCATTATTATGCAGACATTTTACAAACAAGTAACAAATCAGCCACCGAACTTTACAGAAGCATGGGGTGTCTTTAACTTCTAATTGTTGAGCCAGTCTTGATCCCAGTTAATTTTTTTCCAAAGTCTACCAATCAAGAAGGTTAAAAGTAACCCTTGTCTGATCTATGTCAATGTCTGATGATTTTATTTTACAATAAGTATTTACAGATGACTTTCTGAAACCTCAAAATGTTTGGTCTGTAAACATCCTTAACCAAAACAAGTATTCAAAATGTATTAAAGTTTAACTTTGATTTGCAAAATCTGGATTTTCTTTCATCCAGGGTTTGATTGTGAATATTCCAGAGTTAAGGAATCCAGTGTTGTGAATTCAAACATTCAAAAGTCTACGAGAGTAGCAGATACAGGTATAATATATACAGCTGGGTATTTGTGTAATCAGGCACAAGTGACTGTTATGGATCCCTGTTTGCTATGATTTGCAATATACATGGAAAACAACATCAGATTCTGTAATGATTTATTTGATTATATGATCACTTAGCAATCAACTGATAGATCCTTGTTGCCTGTACTTTGATGTCCTCGTTCCTATGACGACACAGAAGGAAGACCTTGGACTTGATGGCTCCAACATTGTTCATGCTGTAGAGAGCCGCGTACATTGTCTCTGGGCTAGGAGCCTTGTCGTCAGGTGGAAGTGATGACACAGAGATGTTCTCCTCTCGCACTGTATGTAGTATGTTGGCAAGGAATGTAGTCATTCGCAGGGTAAGGGCTTCATCTGAACCCTGCTTCAGCAGCTCCAACAGGCAGCCTGGTGCCTACAAACATAGTACTTAATGTGTATATATCACAAACAACATACCACAACACTTGATAAAATGTTGAAAAGACAAAGAATGGACAGCTGAAAACGCCATGGACAGGTAATGATCAAAATTGTTCCACATTCAAGATTTTTATTTGCACTTAGTCACACTGAACAGTGATACAAAGGTCACAACAATATATATAAATATGCAAATCAAGGAGGTCAGATTGTAACAGTACAACCCCCTCCCCCATCCCCATCTTCCTAAAATATCAGTTCTCAAGAAATAGTGATAACAAAACTGATTTTAGCTTATGCATTAATTGTATTGATCATAAATGTTGTCTAGCTCAGTGACTGTGCCACATGAAGTTGTCGAAAAAAAAAGGCAAGCAGATGTAGGTGCCTAGTAAATCATATGATATTTCCATAAAAATAGCCTGTAACGTGCTAAAAATCAATATTTTGATATCTCCAATATATGGAGAACATTACCTAAGTACCTACAGCAGGATACTTTATTTATATTAAGTATCACATAGTATAAATATCTGAATGTTCTGAAATATCTTGAACATCGGTAATTGCATAATTCATTGAATGATTGTACTGCGAATTGAAAAACATGTCTATAAACCAATTTTAAACAAACTGATATTGTAAATTCTAAATGAATCATTTGCTTTTAAGAGAGCTAGACTAGGATGGTGGTCATTGTGGTTTTAACCATATATCTTCATGTAAGGTAAAGGTTATCCAGGTAATGGTACAACTGTAGAGGTAACGGTACAAGTCTACAGCTGTAGAGGTAATGGTACAAGTCTACAGCTGTAGAGGTAATGGTACAAGTCTACAGCTGTAGAGGTAATGGTACAAGGCTATAGCAGTAGAGGTAACGGTACAAGTCTACAGCTGTAGAGGTAATGGTACAAGTCTACAGCTGTAGAGGTAATGGTACAAGTCTACAGCTGTAGGAGTAATGGTACAAGTCTACAGCTGTAGGGGTAATGGTACAAGTCTACAGCTGTATGGGTAATGGTACAAGTCTACAGCTGTAGAGGTAATGGTACAAGGCTATAGCAGTAGAGGTAATGGTACAAGTCTACAGCTGTAGAGGTAACGGTACAAGTCTACAGCTGTAGAGGTAATGATACAAGTCTACAGCTGTATGGGTAATGGTACAAGTCTACAGCTGTAGAGGTAATGGTACAAGGCTATAGCAATAGAGGTAATGGTACAAGTCTACAGCTGTAGAGGTAATGGTACAAGTCTACAGCTGTAGAGGTAATGGTACAATTCTACAGCTGTAGGGGTAATGGTACAAGTCTACAGCTATAGAGGTAATGATACAAGTCTACAGCTGTATGGGTAATGGTACAAGTCTACAGCTGTAGAGGTAATGGTACAAGGCTATAGCAATAGAGGTAATGGTACAAGTCTACAGCTGTAGAGGTAATGGTACAAGGCTATAGCAATAGAGGTAATGGTACAAGTCTACAGCTGTAGAGGTAATGGTACAAGTCTACAGCTGTAGGGGTAATGGTACAATTCTACAGCTGTATGGGTAATGGTACAAGTCTACAGCTGTAGAGGTAATGGTACAAGGCTATAGCAATAGAGGTAATGGTACAAGTCTACAGCTGTAGAGGTAATGGTACAAGTCTACAGCTGTAGAGGTAATGGTACAATTCTACAGCTGTAGGGGTAATGGTACAAGTCTACATCTGTAGAGGTAATGGTACAACTCTACAGCTGTAGAGGTAATGGTACAACTCTTCAGAGTTACAACTGGATATCATCTTTGAAGGTAAATGGTAAACATATACCTTTGCAGCCAGTATGTGAGGCACCATCTCTGTGCTACAGGACAAGTTGACAAGGACCTTAAGGGCCTGAAGCTGTATGCTATGTTGGTGCATGTCCAGAAGGTCATACAACTTCTGGATTAGACGCGTATAGTGGCGATGGTACTGGTCAGTCAAGGACAGGTTTGTTAGGGCCTGCAAGGACGAAAGACACACACTCTCTCCTGTTTCATCTTCCAACGTCAGGTCCACTAAGGTGGGCACACACGACTGCAATAGGAAACATGTGTCACACACAAGTATATAAAGTGATTCAAATATAACAAGAGGCCATATAAGTCTACACAGCTCACATGATGTTCAGTGCTTCGTTAATGAGAAGAAGTCATTTGAAGGTTTTGAACAAATTTTATATCTATAACCTTGAATATTTGTAAACATTTTCAGACTTCAATCCCAAAAACCTATTTGGCATTGAATAAGGTTCCAGGTCACTTTTTTCACATTCTTTGCAAGACTTCATCTCTGGCACCTAGCAGCCAAAAACCATAATTCTAAGCCTTTTGATACATTGAAAATTTGTGCCCTGTGACCTTAAATACGGGTCAAGGTAATTTCCTTCTTCAAACTGTTAGGGCTTCATCCAAGGAAACTCAAAGCCAAATATCATGATTTCAGGCTTTTTGGTTATCGAAAAGAAGTTGTTTAAAGGAAAAAGACAGATGAATAACAGATGCTGCATGCCTTCACCTGGCTGATCCTTCGTGCCAGGTTAGCTTAAAACTGGTACATGAAATCTGCATGTTGTAGTGTACAAATATACAACAATTAAGGCTGCTACATTCACTAAGAATTACAATAAAACTTCAGTATAAATATATGATCAAAGATAATTCATTACAGGCAAATATAGCTTGTAAAACAACATGCAACAAGAGATAATGATCAGAGAGTTTCTTCAACTGCACATTACCTAAGCCTGCAAAAAATAGGGAAATTGGATTATGAACTTGTGCTGGTATTGCATATAATGAAGATGTAATCAAGGGCAAGGGAGAACACAGTATCAATCGTTTAATCAGAATTATGTGGAATTTGCAGGCAAAACCAGAAAATTAAGCCAAAGCTGTCAGCACAGCATATGGAAACATTGGAGTTTTAGGATCACACTGAGAATGAGGACATACAGTCTCCTGCTCAGAGCTTTCCCGCATTGCCAGTTCCACCAGAGTGGGTACACATCCCTGTAGAGACAGAATAACAGAGTACAAATTCCATGTCATATATGTGACAAATCTAAGTCTATGGGCCAACATATAGTCTCTGACTTGGGGATACCATAGTATAACAGGGATATACTGAACTAATATATTATTTTAAGAATAACAAATTCAACAAAAAGATATAACCCACATCAAAAATAATAAATTTAAAGTAAATTGTAGTATGGTGTAGATATTCAAGTACTAATAAACTGTGCAGGGCACTTCATGTCATGAAAGTACTGTCCTTTTGAAAAAAAATGAAAAAAGAAAAAGAAAAAAAAAGAAAAAAACAACATCTAGGCTAAAGTCCTTAGGTAAGTTCTGTTGGTGTACCTACCTCGAGATTTTTGTGATTTTCTGTATTGGCAGAGAGATTAGTGATAGCAGTGGCCACTGAGCTGACAACTTCCTGTGACGACTTGACACCAAGTCTCAAGGACATACTCTGGGATCGTAGCAGTTTACTCAGCTTATCAAGACAGCCATGTTCTCGAAATAAATTCTGAAAAACAAAAATTAGGATCATAACAGTTTACTCAGCTTATCAAGACAGCCATGTTCATGAAATAAATTCTGAAAAACAAATTTTAGTACTTATCAAGGTCACAATATTGTCCAAGGTGATTCTAGAAATGACACAGGACACATTTATTTCATAAAGAATAAGGGACTGATTGATATTACAAAAGCATTATGCTTCTATCAATGACTACGCTGATAAAATGTTCAATACGTACAATTGTATAAAGATCTAGTGCTGGTATTCTTTTTAAAACACCACTGTTAGCGATAAAACCTAGATCCTTCTAGATTTCTCATAAAATTTCCAATCGAATGAATTAAAGACACATTTTTACCACTGTGACATATTCAAGGGAAGAGTTTTACAGTTTTCCAGGGTAATAAAAGTGATGTGAAAGCAACGCTGTCATAAAGGGTATTTCAAAACTTCCTTTGAGTGCCAATGTATCTTGAATATATTTCTGTTGGATTAAAGACAGACCCTTGGTTTATTAGTATGTCTGCACAAATAAATGTATGCTTTCATAAGGGTGACAATATTCAAGTAAACAAGGTTTGATTGCAGTTCTTAACAATCAGTAAAGTAACTATAAACTGTCTATGATACTATTATTGTTTGACAGCCTTGAAAACAGAAAATCATGACATGCCATCAAATTTGTCTGGCAATAAACTCATTCAGGTATTAAGTCTATCCAAATATATATTTCTGTTCATTAGAATTATAAACAAATCCCATTTTATTATTCTGTAATAAGCACAGCCAAGACTCTGAATTACACCTGCTGGTTGTAAGAATTTAGTTACCCAACAACACAAAAGACTGGGTCCACCCAACCCTCCAATGTAAATATTACATAACATATTACCCATATGTATTGGACATGTGCTTTCCACAAAGAATGCACACAGGCAATAACACAATTGAAATGTTCAAATAACATGCAATACTTCTCGCTCTGCACTAAAATCAATACTGACGGGACCAAATACATGGCAATAAATAACATTATCTATAAATATATTTGCAGGTCTTTGGTTATTCAGTACAACCTACAACAGCATTATAACATTTCCATTTTTTTTGTTATTTTAGTACATTGGATAACATTTTATATCTAAGGTGATAAGACTAACTAGTGTTTTTCTGATAGCATGCTGAACCTTCCATTCAGTTGAGAATTCTTATAAATTGGTAGAGACCTGGACTTATAGTACAAAAGTTGAGGTCAGATATATAGTGGTCCTTCGATAAAATTAACATGACTTTCTGTTGGTGTACATAAACTGAACAACATACCTTCATTATAATGTATCTTTGTATTTAAAGTTCTATTTTCAGATCATTTGGTACAAAAGTAGAAGTGAATGTTTCAGAAAATTCCATTACCTTTAAACAATTACTTTCATGTTTTTACATAGTGCAAATGCAGTCTACTTCAAAAATGGACTTCGTTTTCCAAGAAAACTCGTAACAAAACTCCTATTTGAAACACAAAACAAGAGAAGCTGGTATCAATGAATGTAACATTTGAGAGAGGCAGCTTCAGAATTACTTCATTATAGATTTTCACTAGTAGAAACAGTGATTTTGCATTTGCGACATATATAGACCATGTTGAGTATAATACATGTACAACAATAGACCATGTTTAGTTTGACAATAGATCATGTTTAGTATGACAATAGACCATGTTTTAGTACAATAGATAATATTTAATACAACAATAGATCATGTTTAATACAACAATAGACCATGTTTAGTACAACAATAGATCATGTTTAGTATAACAATAGATCATGTTTAGTACAACAATAGACCATGTTTAGTACAACAATAGACCATGTTTAGTACAACAATAGACCATGTTTAGTACAACAATAGATCATGTTTAATACAACAATAGATAATGTTTAATACAACAATAGATCATGTTTAATACAACAATAGATCATGTTTAGTATAACAATAGATCATGTTTAGTACAACAATAGACCATGTTTAGTACAACAATAGACCATGTTTAGTTTGACAATAGATCATGTTTAGTATAACAATAGATCATGTTTAATACAACAATAGATCATGATTAGTACAACAATAGACCATGTTTAGTACAACAATAGACCATGTTTAGTTTGACAATAGACCATGTTTAGTACAACAATAGATCATGTTTAGTATAACAATAGATCATGATTAGTACAACAATAGACCATGTTTAGTACAACAATAGACCATGTTTAGTACAACAATAGACCATGTTTAGTACAACAATAGATCATGTTTAATACAACAATAGATAATGTTTAATACAACAATAGATCATGTTTAGTATAACAATAGATCATGTTTAGTACAACAATAGACCATGTTTAGTACAACAATAGACCATGTTTAGTTTGACAATAGATCATGTTTAGTATAACAATAGATCATGTTTAATACAACAATAGATCATGATTAGTACAACAATAGACCATGTTTAGTACAACAATAGACCATGTTTAGTTTGACAATAGATCATGTTTAGTACAACAATAGACCATGTTTAGTATAACAATAGATCATGATTAGTACAACAATAGACCATGTTCAGTACAACAATAGACCATGTTTAGTTTGACAATAGATCATGTTTAGTACAACAATAGACCATGTTTAGTATAACAATAGATCATGTTTAGTACAACAATAGACCATGTTTAGTATAACAATAGATCATGTTTAGTACAACAATAGACCATGTTCAGTACAACAATAAACCATGTTTAGTTTGACAATAGATCATGTTTAGTACAACAATAGACCATGTTTAGTATAACAATAGATCATGTTTAGTACAACAATAGACCATGTTCAGTACAACAATAGATCATGTTTAGTTTGACAATAGATCATGTTTAGTACAACAATAGACCATGTTTAGTATAACAATAGATCATGTTTAGTACAACAATAGACCATGTTTAGTACAACAATAGACCATGTTCAGTACAACAATAGATCATGTTTAGTACAACAATAGATCATGTTTAGTACAACAATAGACCATGTTTTGAATTTCCTTGGTAAAGATTGAATTCTTCCAATTAAAGACCTCAGCTTTTCATAACTACCTTATATTTTTGAAGAACAAACTTAAAGTTGTTTTGCCTCTTTCAATTAGACAAATTGGATTTTCATAATTTTCCTTCATAATCATAATTTATTTATGTTTATAATATTTTGTGGAAAAATTTGGGTGCCTCCAAACCCCATTTAAATAAAGAGGGTTGGCAAGTATTGTACAAAATAATCATAAATAATGGATTTTTTTAGGTATTTGATACTATAATGCCTATTTCTGTAATCAGTACACATTCCTAACAAGAAAGCTAAAGAAATGAGTTTTATAAAGGATTTCATTTGCAGACTTATTTCAGAATTTGCTTGAAGAAGATTTGTCCTGTTTACAGATTTCCTTTGCAACTTGCTTTCTATAAAAATTCACATTGTATCTTTTATCAAATTCAATGTATCAAAATTGTTTTATAAGAAACTTTTCCGTCCACAAATATTACGTATTGAACAGTAAGAATTGAATGATAACAATATAAATTACCTCTTTAAATATTCCACCTTTTCAATATAACTGCTTCATTAAAAAAAAATTATTACATTAATATCAGTAATACTCATGGCAAAGAAATGGTGGTGTTTGCCCTATACAGACTTACTGTATTAAACATGAAATAAGGTAGTCTTAAGATTGCTACCAATGATTCCCAATAGTATATTTTGATTTCATGTAGGCAGTCACAATCACAGTTACACATTATATATAATACAACATATAGAAAATGTCGTCATGAAAGACTTACCTAAGTCCATTTTCTAACTATGAAATGTCAATGAACAGTTTCACTATGTTGCTTTTATCCAAAATCACCTAAAATCCATTGTGATTACAGAGAATTTTGGTAAGTGCCTTGAACACTAGAAGGACGTGCCGACCAACAATTTCCTCTGACAAACCAGGTCTATAAAGTCAGTGTGGCAAAGGATTGTAAGTTGAATAATTTATGATACCAAGCAGCACTTACATACAGGTAACCCACCAAAAGGAAAGGTAGGCTTCATTCTGCATTGATTAAGATGGTTATAGAAAACTCTGCTATTTGTTTGCAGCTAGCTATATATATAGCTGTTGGCACAAGCATTCATATGGTAAAAACATTAGTAGGACAAAGGTCACCAATTGCTTTGAGCTGTCGACAATCTTAAGTACATTGATAAAATTAGGTATATCCTCATCAGGAAACAGCTGGGAAGATTTTAATGAAATGCCTGACAAAGAAATTTTTATTTAATCAATTTGTGAAGACACCGTCCATTGATGAAATGGTGTCATGTCAAAACAACGTGATCAAGTAAGAGGTATAGTATATTGTCTTTTCCAATCAAGAGTATAGATCTAGGTAAATCGCAAGTATAATTTACAGGTCTAAGCAAACAAAATCCACTCCTAGTTCAACCTGGGCTGACAAAAATCAAAGATGGCAATGTCTGCAATGTTTGATCTATATCCCTTTAGGAAATGAAGCCTTTATAGACAGATTGCTGTACAGGATTTTCTAAAAACAGAAGCAAAATGACCTTGACCCTGTAACCTGGAAGCTGAAACTGCCAAATGCAATGAACTGCTAAAGTGCTGCAAAGGAATTTTTTTTACAAAATCAATGCTGAACATGATCTTACACTTGCTAGAGTGCTGATAGGCATTTTTTCTATCACATTATGTAGTTTTATGGTGACCTTAACCATATAATCCTGACAACAAATTAAAAAGACATATTTCTTGGACTTTCGAACCATCTGCATCTTGATGAAAATCCCCAAAGGAATAAAGTTGTTTTAGTGCTGACAATAAATCTGTGCCAATACTGTGCAATAATCAAATAAATACATTTTTTTGTTTCAAATAAGTACAAACATCC